CCTCGGGTCTGTGGCCCGCCTGGCGTCTGGAGACGCGCAGGGGCCCGACCCTCAGACCAGCCCTACCCCCACGGCGGGGCAGCAGCGTGACAGTTGGTACCTGCAGGCCACGTCGCAGCCAGCCGGGCTACCAGGGTTTCGGGGATCCCCCACCGCGGACCCTCGATGTCCCCGACGGAGCAGGTGGGACCCCCTTCCTGGAAAAAGAGCTTCTTCTCCCCTGGCCCGGCACCAGCCCCGGGACTGGCGGCTGCTGAGACCCTGAGAGGCTGCCCCGCTGGGTGGGGCGTCCACAGGGGAAGCCTGGAGGGGCCAGCGAGGCAGCCCAGGACTGGAGGTACCCTCTGGACGCTGTTCCCCAGTGGTGCGGGACCTCGAAAGGGGTCTGCGCGATGCCAGGGCAACTTGTCAAGGGCAAAGCAGCTACGCCGGCACCCTCTCCCACCGTGTTAACCTGACTCTGGCCTGAAGCTTCATCTGGTGGGTTGGATAAGGTGTCAGGGTTTAGCTAACCTATTCGGCCTGGTGCTCTCTGGTTAATTGAGATGAAGGTTGCTTGCCATGGACGGAGGGAGCAAATCGAATCCGGGCAGGTGCTTTTCAGATGTTTCTTTTCACCTTCAGACAGTGCAGAACTTAAGCGGCATATGCTTATGAAACCAAGACAGAAGACTGCTTTCTGAAAAGGAAGTTTATTTTCTGTATTACTGGGCCTGCCAACTATTTTAGCTCTCCTGACATTTACCTGCCTGGGCCTTTAAGCTATTTTGCTTTCTGATTGAGGGTGTTTCTCCTTGGTTGCCTAGTTGTGGTAGTGGTGAATGTGGGTCCTGATGCTCTGTGAACTCCCCATTCCTCACGCCTTCTGCCACTGGGGGTTGAACATTCAGGAGGGACTGAGTGGGCAGAAAGAGAGGAGTGGGACTGGTGATGTAGAAACAAAGACGGAGTTGCCTGAGGCTGCCTAGAGGTAATAGGATTGGCAGTTGTGGCTGTGGCTTGTGCCGAAGAGAGGGTTGGGCGTTTCATATTCAGGAGAGAAGTCTGCAGGGGGATGGGTGCCACTCTGGTCAGTGCTTCAAGGGAAGCCCAGGGATGTTTGGTGATTCAGCAGGTGGCATCTTTCCAGCTCTGAAGCCATGCCTTGGCCAAACAGGCAGGCAGCGAAGCTTGTGCCTGCTGTCGTAGGTGCTAGCTTTGGGGGAACCTCCAGGAGATGCCTTCTGCCTGTAGCAGCTCACTTTCTGTATCTTGCTTCATAGTCAGGTATAGCCCTGGTCCTTCCGGTTTACTTGTCTCCACTCTCAGACATGCTTGGTAGCAGGAGGTCGCAGCTGCTATGCCGTAGTTTAAGTAGTTATTTTGCAAATAGCCTTTCCATTCTATTTCTGCTTCAGAGACTAGAAATTTATGTTTTTATTAAAATATGTTTCTGCAACTCTGAATTGCTGATAGCTATTTAAAATATCTGGGAACATTAAAAAATTAGTTCAGGGTATGGATTAAATTGGCATTAAAGGACACATTTATTAAAACATTGTCTTATTCACTGGTGTATCCTTGGTGTCTTCTACAGTACCTGACTTGTGGTGCTCATATGTATGCTTATTTAGTTGAAATTCTCCAAGTTCTTCACATTGGAAGAGCATATCAGTATTTATCCTAATGCTCATCTGTTTTCATCTGTAAATGGAGTTCTACCTTCAACATTTTTAGAGTAAAATATTCAACAGTGTTTATGTACTTTGGCACTTGAAGGAACTTTGTATGTTTTCATAATCATGGTTGCCTGTGTTGACTATAGATGTTCAATTTTACCTTGAAAATAAAACACTTTTATGTTTCTTAATTTGTAAGTTTTGATAAAGTCCTTATTTTTACATTGTAGCAATTCTAACATTTAAATCAGAAAAGGGTAGGCTTTGCTCTCAAAAATCAAAAGGATTCTTATAATTTGGTCAGTTTTTGTAAGCTAAAAAGTGCTGCTGGTGCAGATCAAATATACTTTAATTATTATTATTATTATTATTTTTTTAGATGGTCTTGCCTTGCAGTTTAGGCTGGCTTTGAATTCACTAGGTAGTTCAATCTGGCCTTGAACTTGAGGTTATCTTCCTGCCTCAGCCTCCTGAGTGCTGGGATTATAGTTGTGTGTCACTGTGCCTGGCCAAATATGTTTTCATTTTTAAAACTTCATTTGCTACAAAGCATTTCAGAAAAACTGTCAAATTACTAACATATACTATCCAATGAAAAGTGCTGCTGTGGGAAAGAATGAAACTTTTGTGAATAAAAATTCTGAGTTGTTTGCACACAGGGATAATTGGTTCCCAGTTTCTGGGGGGAAATCTAGGTTCACTCTTCTGTCCTTTATTTTGGTATTGTTACTTCCTCCAGTTGTTTAGCTATTTCTTTTTCTCCCAAAGACATACTCTCCTGGCATGGGCTTGTTTTTTAAAGCTGCAGCCAGAAGGATCTGTGCATTTTCTTACATGAATTCAGTCAGTGGTGGTTTTAATTTCTTGATGTCCCATATACTTACCTATCACATTATATGACTACCTGGTCAGTGCCCGTTGGAAAACACAGAGGCCAGTGTGCCTCAGTGTGGGCATGGCAGATTATGAATGACCTTGTCTTTGCTTCTTTTAGGTGATAGTTGCAGTCCAAACAGTAGCTTCTGAGGAACGTTCATGGTATGCCTGATCTTAAAGGATTTGCTTTCTGTTAAAGTCCTTTGAGTAGGAACAGAAATGCTTATTTCTTGTCTCTTACTGTATTCCAAGAGTTCAGCTATAAAGTTTGTTACCTTAATTAAGCTACCTAGTCACAAGAAGGCTATATTCTGGGTCAGTCTAGTTGGATGTGGGAGGCAGTATTGAATGTGGCGTAGCAGAGAGAAAAAAAAAGTGAAGGCAGTAGAGAGTGGGGAGCTAGGAGATGTGTCTTGGTTTTGTAACTCACTGTGTGCGAGTGACTTCTGGTTTCAGTAAAGCCAGATTCACTGGCTAGTAATCAAGTATGAATTAGTCTTGGATAGAATGCTTTGCCTCACCCCAAATCTGTATCTCCATATACAGGCTCAC